ATTTCTCAGATATTAATGGGGCTCAGGCCAAAAATGGCACCAAAAGAGATAAAATGACCCAGATATTAAAAATGTGTGAACACACATTTATTATTTTTATTTATGACTGTGTAATTAATTTATTATTAAAATGTGTTAATTAAAAAAAAATCTATATATATAATATATATTGTTGCTAATAATAATAATAATGGTGATGATGATGATAGTACTGTAGTAGTATTTGTGACCAGATTATATAAAATTATGTAACTAGATAATTTATAATTTGTAATTATTAATCTATTATCATTTAATTTATGATCTTATTGCTAATAATAATAATAATTGTGGTGGTGGTGGTAGTAGTAGTATTTGTAACCAAATAGTACAAAATATTGTTGTGGTTGTAATTATTAATTAATAATAATAATAATTATTATTATTATTTGTAACAACATGATTATATAAATAATAAATTATCTGATAACTGCTACTACTAATAATAATAATGATAATTTTCTGGTATCATCTTGTGTTATTATTATTATTATTATTATTATTATTTGTAATAAAATGATTATACAAATAATAAATTATCTGATTACTACTGCTACTACTACTACTAATTTTCTGGTGTCATCTGGTTATAAATACTACAACCACCACCATTATATTTTTTATTATAATTTGTAACAGAACATTTATTGTTATAATTTATTATCTTGTTGCTGATAAAAGTAGTAGTAGTAGTAGTTTGTTGATCCTTTGTTCATTTGTAGATAGATAGGTTTTATAGATATAGCCTAATTATTAAGAATTTGTTTTAACTGATTAATATAAAAAATTTCATGTAAAATGAGGAAATGTGGTGCGTTTTATATGGGGGAAAAAATTATCTTTGATGCCTAGGATCTGCCCAAGTTCAAGGAGCTCATCTTTGAGGACTTCTCTAGATTCATACTAGTAGAGAACATCTTTGAGGAAGCTGTCCTGCAGTCAGTCAGCAAGGACATCATGATGGGTGAGTGTCTGCAGCCCCTTCAGCACAATATAGCACAGCCTTCCATACCTTACTTAAAAATAGAGTTGCAATGTGTTTTCCACTCATTCCTTTTAATTTTGCAGCTGTGAAGGAAGCTGCGGTCCAGAGAAGGCACAACCTGTACAGAGACAGCATGGTCCTGACCAACAGTGACCTCAACCTGCACCTTCTGGGAGAGGACAGCATCGACTGGGCTGGCCAGTTCGGAGGAGTAAAAGGAGAGAAGCAAGGTGGCGAAATGGCCAACAGGAAACGCAAACAGATCGTCTCCATGATCCACCTGGACGGGATGCCTCTGCCATACGAGTCCTGCCAGGAAATACCAGGAGTGGACTGCATCCCAGAGGAGTACGAAGGGCAGGCAGAACAAGATCTTGAATCCAAAAAGCCTGTGAACCCAGTACAGCACGTACCTATCGAGAAAGAGCCAGGTTCTCCTGATGCCGTCAATGAGATCCGAGACCTCATAAACCCGGTGCTGGAAGTTGTCGAAAAAGACAGCTCACAGTTGACCAATGGGATGTTGTCTTTGGAAGAGGGCGATGAGGTGAAGAACATCACAACGGTAACAGATATGGTGCCAAGGGAGTCACCAAAAAAGGTTGACGGCGAATTAGATGCCACACAGATTGAACAGTCTTTAGAAGAGCAGCAGTGCGTATCCGCCATTGAAAGTGCCATTCAACAGATCGAGATCGCCATCCAGGAAGACCCCGGCGAGCACCTGAGCGAATGCGCCATTGACTCTGATGGGGAATTCGCTGAAACCTCTACCAACTCCAGCCCTCTTCATCACGATGACAGTGGGTTTCAGTCTCCAGCCAATGAGAATGTCGAAGAAGTGGAGCCTCAGCCTGGCACGGGGGACGAGGTGGTGGACACAGAGCAGGTTATGTTAACTCTGGTGGAGGGAGTGAAAACTAGCATTGATTTAGACGCCAAAGCCCCTTGTGATGCTTCAGAAAAGAAATCGGAAGTTGAAACCACAGCAGATAGATGCTTGCTTTGAGTGAGATATAAAACATATTTTATAAACTGAATGTGTTTGCCGAGACACTTTTGTTTGCTTTCCATCTTCAACACTTTATGGTTGATATTTCAGCCAATTCGTTGTTTGTTTTATTTTATTTTTAATTTGTTTTATTTTCTGTTCTTGCAGTTAATTTAGACATTTTGTGGATGTTTATCGAGGAGAAATTTGTATATATATTATATTCTCATACAGTATATACACAGATTTATGACCTTGTGTGCCTTTTTTTTTTTATGTAACTCATGACTCCCACACTAATTATTATGTGGCAGAGGTTTCATAACTGTCATTAACTTGGACCGTTCCATTTCATAGGGGCCATCTGAAACTTTAGTCTTTTTTGCCTTCTGTTAATTGTGGAATATATTCAAAAACTAATTGTACATTAATGCAGCGTAATTAAGCACTTAAACAATAACTCTGCAAATGCATTTAAGTAAATTAAAGCTTGCTTTTTAATGTGTGTAGACACTTCTTTGTGGTTTAAAAATATTTAAAGTGAGCTTATTTCTATAGAATGCATTAACACTCTGTAATGTGCGTTTAGTGCTCACAGACATGCTGTGACCCAGATTCACATCCTCCACCTGTACATATGTGTTATGGAGGAAGGAAACGTCATTACCCATTTGCAGATAGAGCTCCGATCTTCAAGGCAAAGGATTGAAGTAGGTGTAGAAAAATCCTCAGAGTCAGCTCACATCTTAGTTCAGTAACTTTGTGGAAACCATAGAGGAAAACTTTGGGGAGCTTAACTCATGATGTGTGAATGTGAGGAATTCTGAGGTGTCGTTCAGGACGGGTGGGCAAAGGTTTGCTCTGGCATGTAGCTGTGGGAATTATTTTTATTTTTTTTGCTAGGATCACAAAAGTTAATCATTACTGGACATATGTTTTAATGTTTTCTGCTCATTTATTGAAGCTAAGCAACATATTGTAGCTCCACACATATTTCACTGGTTATTTATTTTAAGTGTTGTGGTTTATTTTCTGCATCTTCTGTTCCTTTTGTAAGGCAGCAATGGATAAATAAATGACATTATTTTGAAATGTGTATGTTGTGCAAATTCGAGATGTTACCATATAATGTACACTAGCATTAAAAAGTTTGGAGTCAGTATTTTTTTTTTTAAAGAACTTCTACATTAATTTGATAAAGTTATATTTAAGACTTACTTTGTTTTTTTGAACATTCAACTCAAATAATTATGGAAAAATGTATCATGGTTTCCACAAAAATATTGAGATCTTTTTTTCAACTTTTTCTTTCATCAAATCAGCATATTAGAATGATTTCTGAAGGATCTTGTGACACTGAAGACTGGAGTGATGATGCTGAAAATTCAGCTTTGCCATCATAGGAATAAATTAAATGAAAATTTAAAGTAAATTTTGTTACAAATTGAATATATTTTTGATCAAATGTAGCCTTGGTGAGCTTAAAGCAGCACTATGTAACTTTTTCTGTGTTCAAAATTTGCAAAATGTATATAATGAGTGAGTACATCATGAATTCATCTTCCAAACCGCGTTTTTGTCTTATTCCGAATCACTACGATACACTTTTAAGTACTTATATTTGGACTATTATAGCCTGGTCGGGTCGTCACCGCTGCGGTGTAACACATACCTGTGTGAATCGCCATAGACATAAACTTAGAGAAGTAGCTCCGGTTGGAATGTTCTTCCGCGGGATGTGTGCAGTTCTGTTTATTAACTGCTAGAGCGCCAAAAGTTACATAGTGCTGCTTTAATAACCAAAAACTTTTTTTTTTAATATTACCAAGCCTAAACTTTTGAACAGTAGTATAAATGTGAAGCTTCTATAACTATAACCCTTTTATGGTCTACATGCTACAGTCCTTTTCATACCAAATGCGTTTGTCCTCTGACCATTATTACAAATGTCTATACATTCATCAAATCAGCATATTAGAATGATTTCTGAAGGATCTTGTGACACTGAAGACTGGAGTGATGATGCTGAAAATTCAGCTTTGCCATCATAGGAATAAATTAAATGAAAATTTAAAGTAAATTTTGTTACAAATTGAATATATTTTTGATCAAATGTAGCCTTGGTGAGCTTAAAGCAGCACTATGTAACTTTTTCTGTGTTCAAAATTTGCAAAATGTATATAATGAGTGAGTACATCATGAATTCATCTTCCAAACCGCGTTTTTGTCTTATTCCGAATCACTACGATACACTTTTAAGTACTTATATTTGGACTATTATAGCCTGGTCGGGTCGTCACCGCTGCGGAGTAACACATACCTGCGTGAATCGCCAGAGACATAAACTTAGAGAAGTTTTCTGTGTTCAAAATTTGCAAAATGTATATAATGAGTACATCATGAATTCATCTTCCAAACCGCGTTTTTGTCTTATTCCGAATCACTCCGGTACACTTATAATAAGTACTTATATTTGAACTATTATAGCCTGGTCGGGTCGTCACCGCTGCGGTGTAACACATACCTGTGTGAATCGCCATAGACATAAACTTAGAGAAGTAGCTCCGGTTGGAATGTTCTTCCGCGGGATGTGTGCAGTTCTGTTTATTAACTGCTAGAGCGCCAAAAGTTACATAGTGCTGCTTTAATAACCAAAAACTTTTTTTTTTAATATTACCAAGCCTAAACTTTTGAACAGTAGTATAAATGTGAAGCTTCTATAACTATAACCCTTTTATGGTCTACATGCTACAGTCCTTTTCATACCAAATGCGTTTGTCCTCTGACCATTATTACAAATGTCTATACATTTTTAACAAATGAAAAATGATCTTCACTCTATTCTGCAAATATTTTATATTAAATTATATTCTTAAATATATTAGTGTTTTAAGGCCTTTGGCAAAAATGTGAACTCCAGATTTATGTGGTGCAACTTGGTATTTATCTTATTAAAACGCAAAGACCATTGACAAAGGTGTAGACTCAAAACCTTTAATACATTCTGCAATGAAACTAATTTCACTTAAAAACAATTACCAATAGTGCATTTAAAAGATTGTGTGAGGATTGTAGATCTCCTATTTCTGTTCTCAGTTAGTCAATCAGTTTCCATGTGTCTGTATTGCTGGTGAACATTAACTAAGGCCACATGATTTGCATTTCTCTTTTCCGCCAATAGTTTAGTTCAAATCATTGTTTGTTCTGCAATTCAGCAGTAATTTCCAGCATTACCCAAGACCGCCTGATCTTGACTCATGTAGGAAGTTTACAACGACCCATCGCAAGGTTTAAAACTACTGCTTTCCCAAAATAACAGAAAACCACCAGCAACATTAAAGCAAATCTCAGAGAACAGAATTTAAACATTCATTTGTGTAACAGAATATTAGCTTATTAATTACATCAGTAGTTGTAGAAAATATAAAACTTGTCAATGAGGCACATCTCCGTTTAGTACAATGCTGACTGTTTGAACGAAGTCACGTCGTACAACCTCAAACGTAAAATCGCATGCGTTAAACACACCATTCTTCACGTTAGATATTGTGTTCCCAATGAGGTTTACAATCGAACCTCTAAAACACTAACCAAATTTACAATTGGTTATCGCCAAACTTCCATTAAATAAGCTTTCATGCATGATCTTTAAAATACAACCTGAAACGTTAAAAATGAGAATCATCCCCGTTCAGTCTACATATCACAACATCTCTTGCATGTCTTCTTGATCATGGCCACACAAACCTGGCATCATTAGATCAAGAGCAACAGGAAACATTTTTGATTTTGAGTCCAGTCAACTCGGTTGAACATTTCGAGATGCCGCCTCGTGTTTTTGTTTTCTCATCTCTTCTCAAATGTGATTCAGTAGAGGAAAAGCCAGAAAGTATCCCAAGACGGATCCCATGATGACCCCCAGGAAGATCCACACGTTGTAGGACATGACGCAGAGCATGAGCATGTAGCCTAGCGTCACCTGCAGAATGTGAATGGCGGTCTGGAGGCAGTGTAGAAGCCAGCTGAAGATGGAAAGAGACAAAATGGACAATTGTTGGGGGCAGAGATTCATTAAGCTACAATGCTAGAGGTATAAATAATCATCAACTCATTGTTTATCTTTCCACCTGGCCAATTTTGATACGATTGAGATCATAACGGTTCTTGGGAAAACATTTTCCCGGTCGTGTGTTGTTAGTGTCTTGTGAGCATTACCTCTTCTTAGCAGCTGCGGTGGTGTCTGCAGTAGCGGCCGTATTCTCGGTGGCAGCTAATGAGTTCTCAGAGGGGCTGTTGGTCAGAGCAGAGCTTCCCTCTTGACGCTTCATGACGGGGGCGAAACAGGATGCTTCCGGTGAGAATGACACCGGAGCGGATGGATGTGTAATGAAGGATTGCTTCTGTTTTCCAATAGTGATCTTCCACACTTTCAGAAGCTCGTAGATCACGGTGAGCAGTAGAACTACAAAGACCGACAGCACCATTCCTGTAGACAGAGAAATCAAGAAGACATATAGGCTTTTCACACTTTAAATTGCTTATCCAACTTTTAAAATGAAAGTAAAACGCTTTTAACTCTGGGGTTTTCTCTAGGGTCCGAGGATCAAAATGTTAATATAAAATGTTTAGATGTAAACCCTTCAGGTTTATATAGCTCAAATTAGTGGTTAAAGGTAGTAAATAATGTTCAGTAAATAACGTTCTAATAAAATATTTTACATTTAAATGAAAATAAAAGCCAATTATTTAATCCAATTGTTATATATATATAGCATTCAATTAATTTTTACAAATTTAAATTGATACTTATATTAAGCAAAGACTCATTACAAAAGTTTGACACAAAAGTAACAGTAAAAACATTTATGTTACAAAATTTGTCAGTTTCACGGTTTACACCAAAAAAATATTAAAATAATTATTTTAAATTGTAATAATATTTCACAATATTACTATTTTATTTTTTTTATCAAACAAATGCAGCCTTAGTGAGCATAAGAGACTTTCAGAAACATTTAAAAAAATCTTACTAACCCCAATATACATATAATATTATCATTATCTTTTTGACTCCCCTCAATGAACGGAAACCAACGGAACAAACCAAATCAGGAACCTGTTGTTTATGGGATTCCCACAGTATGACTGAATACACACACAGAACAGAACATTTACATTTTACACTATACAATATTTTGTCTATAAAGGTGCGGCATTTCTAAAACAAATATCTGGTATATTTCAAGCTCATAAAGCCGTAACCCCTTGCAAGCTCTGAATCTGCAATTTTTTGTCTTCTACCCCAGATCATTATCCACTGTGCCACACCACCAGTCAAGGTTCATCTCGAAAATACAATTCAGTGTTTAGATTGTGAATCTGATGTTTAAACAATATCAAAAGAGCAAGAGTGGTGTTGTATTGTGATTTGGCAGTATGCATGAAGTCAAGTGCTGTGAGTAAAGCACACACATCCATGCGGATTAGTTTTGAGATTTAGAACAGTACTGGCATAGCATAAAATAAAGCTTGTGTAAACTTATTTTATTGTGCTTTTGCACCCATTTGCAACTTGAAAAGCAAAAGCAAGTAAAAAGAGCAACCATCAATTCTGTTTTTTATGTTACGCAGAAGAAATAAAGTCATAGTTTGGAACGGGGTTGTTTTTGTATCATTTGTGATACCATTATAGTTTAGTAATATTTTGAATTTGTTTTTATTTTTATATTGTCCATTTTCATTTTAGTTAGTGTTTTTGTATTTAGTTTTTTTATGTGTATATATAGTTTTTTTTATCAACTTTTATTTCTTTAGTTTTACTAAATAAAATTGAGAAATGTTGCCTTTGCCACTATTTTTTATATTTAATTTTGTTTCAATTAACATTCATTTCAAGTAACTTTTTTTAAATGGTTTTCATTTTCGTTTAATGCAGGTTTGGAGGATCAAAATGTTAATATAAAATGTTTAGATGTAAACCCTTCAGGTTTATATAGCTCAAATTAGTGGTTAAAGGTAGTAAATAATGTTCAGTAAATAACGTTCTAATAAAATATTTTACATTTAAATGAAAATAAAAGCCAATTATTTAATCCAATTGTTATATATATATAGCATTCAATTAATTTTTACAAATTTAAATTGATACTTATATTAAGCAAAGACTCATTACAAAAGTTTGACACAAAAGTAACAGTAAAAACATTTATGTTACAAAATTTGTCAGTTTCACGGTTTACACAAAAAAAAAATTTAAATAATTATTTTAAATTGTAATAATATTTCACAATATTACTATTTTATTTTTTTTATCAAACAAATGCAGCCTTAGTGAGCATAAGAGACTTTCAGAAACATTTAAAAAAATCTTACTAACCCCAATATACATATAATATTATCATTATCTTTTTGACTCCCCTCAATGAACGGAACATTGTTTATGGGATTCCCACAGTATGACTGAATACACACACAGAACAGAACATTTACATTTTACACTATACAATATTTTGTCTATAAAGGTGCGGCATTTCTAAAACAAATATCTGGTATATTTCAAGCTCATAAAGCCGTAACCCCTTGCAAGCTCTGAATCTGCAATTTTTTGTCTTCTACCCCAGATCATTATCCACTGTGCCACACCACCAGTCAAGGTTCATCTCGAAAATACAATTCAGTGTTTAGATTGTGAATCTGATGTTTAAACAATATCAAAAGAGCAAGAGTGGTGTTGTATTGTGATTTGGCAGTATGCATGAAGTCAAGTGCTAAAGTAATAAAAGTAATAAAATAACTAAAAAATACAGCTAAATAGAAAAAAATTAAAATAAACAAAATGACTAAAACTTTAAATAAAATTCAAATAAATAATACTAAGATAACACTGGAGTAAATGATCATTGTAATTTGTGCGAGAACTCTCCGTTTAATGTGAAGTAACATGTAAAAGAAAGCAACTTTTGCATCTAACTGATAAAAGAAAGCAAGATGGTCTGGTGGGACATAAACTGTCATTCTGCATTTGTATGCATATTGTATGATTATGTTCAATCTTGTTTGTAAAAACCCATGTACCTGCAGGCCCACGTACATCCCAGAAATCAAACAACAGCGTGACGTTGCTGGATCCTTCAAAGTGCATCTGCAAATGACAGAACACAAGAACATAATAAGCAGGCTTGTAATTAGTGACATGTTTCCATTGAGGGTTGACTGTTAACCTATCCCGTGGGAAGAGTCTATAAACAGAAGTTAATGACACTTCCATTACCTTGACAAAACCGGTAATACAATCCTACCAGTCTATGATGTTCAATCCTGGACGTCTGATTTAACTACGATTATCCACATCGCAAGAATTCAATGCCATCAAGCTTTGCTTTTTGCTTGACTTGCTTAAATAACCATAGTATGTCAACTGCTGTCAGAAGACACAATATCTCAAAGCTAGATAGGAATCAGAATGGAATGATAGCTGACTTTGTGGTCAGTACTTCTGCAGGTGTTAATGTAAAAAACGTCATAAAAGGGTGGTAGAGGAAGCCTTGCCATTTACTCGTGACAGTCACATTACGGGAAACAGCACCTTGAAGACTGACACATTAAAACTTGTACTAACAAGTGTGCTGCAGGAACTACAGATCGAAGAAAAGTATACAAGGTTATGCTCCAGATCAACAACATTCCACGACTTGCTATAATCATGAGTAAATCTGCTGTCCTGTCTTCAGAAGCAAAATTTAGGAATTCCATCCAATCCATTCCAAGCGCTGGAGAATTCCTCTACACATTTTGTCCTGTGCCGCATATCTTCTGTTCTGGAGATAGTTTTGCATTGGCCAAATGGAGATAAGTGGCTTTCGATACATTTGTGCCCTATCAAGAACTTCCCAGTGTTATCTCGGAGCAGCTATGCAAGCTCTCACATGAATACATCTTTTATTTGCTCTGTGAAATGCTGTGGCCTGGTCAACTTAAGTGGAAAAATAGGTCAAAAGAATCATTTTGACAATTTTGCTAAATGTACTACTTTTATCCATGCAACACAAAAAGAGATATGATAGAATAACAACCAGTCACCTTCCCTTTTATTTAATGGAATAAAAATAAATGCTCAATAAGGCTGTTAGTCTCAAATATCGAGGTTTGGACCAACATGGGGATAAATGTAATTTCCATGTTTTGAAAGACTATCCTTTTAAGCAACTATTAATATAACACGACCTTGGTGTATTAAAATGAAATAATAAAAAAAGATACAATTGTTGCTGTTTCTTACTACATGGACATGCCACAAACAATTTTATCTTTTTTTTTTACCCACCAACACGGTCTTGGATTACAGATGCATTTATTTATTTATATGTAAATGACAGCATTAAAATACAACAATGAAACTAAAAAGGCTATTAACTAAACAAGTCCATGCGTTATTTTGAGGTGCACTGCTAAACTAACTATAATTTACATGCGTGAAATCAATGAACTTGCATAACGTTACATGTAGACAGAGACCAACTTACATTCATGATGAAGCCGCGTGCAGTCCTCTAAAGATGAGTTCGGGGAAATTTAACACAGACAACACGACCCTTACGGCAAAAAATACAACTTTCATTACCACCTGCACCTCAGCAGCCAAATTCGCCACATTTTAATGTGCCCTTACAGCACAACAGCTGAGAAGCGCTCAGCCCAAACAAAAAAGCTTTATTTATATGCGCCGAAAAGGATCCTGGGAGTTGAAGTCCTCTCGCTGCGATGCGGAAATGAACAAAAATTCGATTAGAACTACATACCAATCTGAATTACTTTATAAATGCAATTTAACGGGCAAGAAGACGGAGTTCACAAATACAACGGGTTTGCATATTTGCATTAAACGATAAAAAAAAAAAAATACATACAAGGTAAATAATCCAAAGCAAAAATACAATTCTTTTTTCTTTTTTTTTACAATTTTTATTTTTTATTTTTAAATACAATTTTGGTATAATACAACAATACTAAATAAATAAAGCAATAAATAAATACGGCTTTAATGAGTGCTGTGCCCGACGGCTCTTGGTGATGATATCATCAGCTCGCGCCCGGATGAGGCTGATCAGTCGGCTAAAACAAACTCCGTCCGAGAAATGAGGGGCTAAATCTAGATGGGATGGAGATTATCAAGAGCTGGACGCAGTCAGTTCGACAGGATATATGTCCAGAAATTTCAAGAGGGACTAACGAGATCAAAAGTAGTGCTGGGAAATACATTCGTGGGCAAGTTTGCTAGTTAGCCGTCGTTAGCTCGACAAGTAACGTTACAGGCAGTGTTGTAAATAAAGAAATTGTCTGGCGCTTTTATCCCAAGTACATATTCACTTGTTTTCAGTTTTTCTGGAGATTGTTAAATACGACCATTAAGGTAGGAAAATTAAATCAACTAATGTCAACGAACTGCATAGGACAAGATAAGAAGTGATTAAATATTGACAGGCCTGTTGTTACTGTAACGTTACATAAAGGGTTAGTTATATTTTAAGGGGGCTAAAAGAACAGGTTGTCGAAAAACATACCTCTTTAAATGGGGGGAAACTGGATCAGGAGAGAAAAGCATAGATGTGGTGGGTTTGTCATGGCTCTGGCAGCTGTGATCTTTTCTTGCCTTTTGATTGGAGTCACTGGTCAAGATGGACAGGCAATGACTGCAGAGGAAAAGTCCAAAATCAGGTGAGTTTAACTGCAGTGGACACTTACATGTTCTTGAATGACTTGTGATTTTACATGCTTATTTTGATGATTGATGGTAGCTCGTATGATTATGTTAACTGGTGTTGTCAAACAAGACGTTTACTATTGTGTACATTTAAGATTGCATATTAAGTTTGGTGACTTTGATTCCAGACCACTAGACAAACATTTCTGTTGCCTTATACTCAAACTGTGACTTACAGATGCCTAGAGGATGATGACAGGCTGTAATGCTTTATGTAATGGTAAACATTAACCAAGTACTTTAATTCCATGTTATTTTGGTTTTGTCTGACACTGATTTATTAGTACACAGATTATGTGTTCTTGGATTGTAATTCTATACATGACCTCATTGTTTCAGTGGCTGTGTCTTGTACTGTTTGTTCTGGGAGAAGATTGCTTCAGCACACAAAGATGTTGATGGAAAGGATTACTCAATTTAACTGATTCAGTCTAATGATTCAGTGTGCTGTCATGCTAATTCCTGTTTTAAAACGCTGAGGTGTGGTCCGTCTTTAACCAAGATGTAATACCTTTTCATAGCATCAGGGTGTGGACATACAGTAGCAGACATTTGGTCTTTGGGTTCACCATATACATATATCTACATTTATGTAGTTTGGGGTCTATAGGATCTTTTTTCTTTTTCTTTTTTTTTATGTTTTTGAAACGAGTTTCTTTAAGGCTGCATTTATTTGCTCAAAAATACAGTGAAACATCGATATTGTAAAATATTACAACATCAAGTGACTGTTTTCTATTTCAATGTATTTTAAAATGTAATTTATTCCTGTGATGTCAAAGCTGAATTTTCAGCAGCCATTACTCCAGTCTTCAGTGTCACATGATCCTTCAGAAATCATTCTAATATGCTGATTTGCTGCTCAAGAAACATTTCTTATCATTATTTATTTCTTCTTATTATCAATGTTGATAACAATTGTGCTGCTTAATATTTTTGTGATACATTTTGTTTTTCAGAATTCTTTTATAATTAGAAAGTTCCAAAGAACAGCATTTATTTGAAATATAAATTTTTGTAACATTATAAATGTCAAATTGTGGGGAAAAATTACCCCAAAATTTTGAACTATATATGCACATACATCCATAAACACATCACGCATAACAGCAGCGAGATAATGTATGATTTTTTTTTTCTGATGTGGAAGGTGTTTAATAAAAGGCATTTTATTGTTGGTGACTTGTTGAAGTTGTGACTTCTGCAACAGTTACTAACAGAGTTGAATTGAGTATACATGGATATTTCCATTACTTTTTCCCTGTGCGATATGAAACAGTAACTGCTGCACACTCCTTTTTATTTTTTTATTTTTTTATTTTTTGTAGGGACCAAATTCTAGAGATGTTTGATCATGCCTATAACAGTTACATGGTGAGTAAATACCTGTGTTTCAGAAATAGTTTTGAATTAGTTCACTAATCAAAACATAGTGTTTCTGAATCATTTGCATTTATTGGACCTAAATAACTAACATTCAAAGTAACTGTTGTACCATAGTAATTGCACTTTGTGGAATTGTGAGAATGAATGTGTCTGTTATTAATCTGTTATCATTTGAGAGGCATCTTTTCTCCTATCCTCTTTCAGGACTATGCCTACCCAGCAGATGAGTTGATGCCCCTCAGCTGTAGAGGAAGGGTGAGAGGGCTGGAACCCAATCGAGGGGACATTGATGATTCTTTGGGAAAGTGAGTCAAGCTCATAATGATTCTGTATGAAGTGATACATTTACAATTTTTATTAAAACCTTTGCTGCACATGACCCTTGTAATGACATGTTAGTTAGATTCTGGAAATATGACTAGTCAGTTTGCTATATTTAGTTTCAAAGATTGATATAAACATTGATGGGACATCTGAAAAGTCTTGGATCAGCATTTCAATAAAGATTTCTGTGTTGATTGATTCTTTGGGTTATTAAAGGCAACCTCTCTTTCTCTCTTTACAGGTTCTCTTTAACATTAATAGACACTTTAGATACTCTTGTGGTGAGTTAAATCTTTGAAATAAAATCTAAGTATAAACTTGATCAAAAACACTAACAATGTTTAAGCAGCCAGACGTGTTATGCAAGCTTATTCAGATCAATACAAAGGACATAATAGTAGATGCCTCTAAACTGTTGTTTTGTGTGTTTTGAGTAGTTGTTAAACAAACTGGATGAATTTGAGGAGGCTGTGAAGAAGACAGTGCAAGACGTCAGATTTGATAATGACATAGTCGTCTCTGTCTTTGAGACCAATATCCGTGTGCTGGGGTATGGATCATGATGTTTCTCTAGCTTTGGATGTGTTTATCTTATTTTAAAAAAAAACTGTAAATTTTTAAATAACTGATCAGGAATACAGTTGATTTTAAAGCAGGTTTTCAGGTTTGGGGCATAATTAGGTTTTCAGGCTTTCTTCTCTAAGTTCATTGTTCTTATTGACTTCCTCCATGAAATGCATTGTTGATTAAACTTCTCCCTGTTCTTCCAGTGGCTTGTTGGGTGCACACGTCATGGCAGATGTTCTAAAGCAGCGTGGAGAGAGGATGCAGTGGTACAGAGATGAACTGCTACACATGGCTAAAGAACTGGGCTACCGCCTCCTGCCTGCCTTTAACACCACCAGTGGCCTTCCTTATCCTCGGGTAACTCCAACACTATTGATTAGAATATTTCAAACTCTCCTTCTATTCTATTCACAAAGTGGCAATTCACCTCTGGCAAGATAGGCGTTTAATAAAACTTGGATATTTTGAAATCGGTGCTACATGACTCGAGAAAAGGGGCTGTGTCCTTTCATTTTGCCAAAAACTTCAACACACATAATGCACTTTTGATTTTGGCGCTGTATGTCTCTCAGTCCACCTGTCCATTACTGGAAATAGAAAAATGCAGAAGCATGATTTGTAGTTTTAACAAAAGCCCTGGAGTTGCCAAAAGTCCACTGGCAGAGTTTTGCTGATAAATAAATATCTGTAGCAGGCAAGAGTACACAATGTTCATTTATATATATACTACTGACATTGTATCAATACAAAGCTGGTTGAAAATTGGCAAAATATCCTTGAATTTGGAGGCGAAATGCATCTCACGCATATCACAGCTTACATCACAATCAAAATATCTGACACTAATAGCATAACTTTTTTATGCTAATTAAAATGACAAAAATTTATTGTAAAAGTTTTTATTCATATTTAAAGCATTTTCATTTTCCTCTTCAGGTAAATTTGCTCTATGGAGTCGTCAACCCCCTTTCTCGTACAGGAACGGAGTCGGACACTTGCACTGCTTGCGCAGGCACCATGATTTTGGAGTTTGCAGCTCTCAGCCGACTGTCCGGGGACCCAATATTTGAGGTAAACGTCCAGCATGTTTTCTTACTAATAACAGATTAAAGGGGTCATATGATGTTGCTAAAAAGAACATTATTTTGTGTATTTGGTGTAATGAAATGAGTTTATGCAGTTTAAGGTAAAAAAAACCACATTATTTTCCACATACTGTACATTATTGTTTCTCCTCTATGCCCCGCCTTTCTGAAACGTGTCGATTTTTACAAAGCTCATCGGTCAGAAAAAGCGAGGTGTGCTGTGATTGGCCAGCTATCCAGTGCGTTGTGATTGGCCGAATACCTCAAGCGTGTGACGGAAATGTTACGCCCCTCACCATACTGTGTTGTGCCCTGTCAGGCCGGAGCGATGATTCAAAAACATGAAAACCCATTATAAAAGAGGCATTCGTTGCATCCAGTGGGGACATAATTACGAATTATAATGACTTATACTGTCTTTTACGTGTTGCGTTGCATCACGCCGCGTAAACATAAAACCATATCTGCATTTGTGATCGGAGAAATGACAAACAACAAGCCCTAATCTACACTGCCCAAAAAAACTCGCTTTAAATATATAAAATATAAAAACTCTTTAAATATAAAAAACGTAACAAAGCCGGCATTGTAGTCTACTCTCCCAGGATCAGGAAACAGTCCTCATAAAATGTGCTGCACACATCTGAATATTTGGGTTGAACTGTTCTGGAACAGTGTTGTAAATACAGCTTAACCACTGATTTCTAGTCGTGTCCTCTTTTGGAAGGCCAAACAAAGTATTTTCGCTTTCGCAACGAAACACACAGC